GTTTATATAGATGAGATGCTGCAGTGAAGTGCAGCGGTGCGCTCATCGAACTGAAGAATGTTATGAAAGCTTCAACTTGCTGAGCTTGTTTAGTCAGAACAGTTAAACTGCAGTTGCAGTTGTTCTACTCAAGAGTATCAACGATCAACAGCAATTAAGTGCCATTCGCAATATGTTGAAAAACTAAAGAACTAAGTTAGTTATGGTAGAATGTGTTATTGCAAAAATCTTAACAAACATCACAGAATATCAAAATCTAAAAGATAAATGCAGGAACAATAGCTCGATTAAAAATAATATGGAAGAAAGTAGTTGTAGTATTTCGATGCACTATGAAATTCATATCATAGGGCGAAAGGGAAAGAGTCTAAAGAGTGGGATAAGACAATTTTATTGAACAAACTGGATGAACACTGTTCGTCTGTGCAAATTTGCGAGAGATCATTTCAAAACAAAAAAAAAAGAATATTTTCCGAAGCTAAGTGTCATTCTCTTCTCAAACACATCTCCCAGCCCATCTCCTCATCCCTGCGGTGAATGAAATTAATAATGAAGTGAGTAAATCAGACGTAGTGTGACAAAAGCGCAGCCAACTTTTACTATATTTCTGAGAAGGAGATATAGAGGTAATTTTTATTCTTTTAAAAATAGATGGAAGAGATGAATGCATAAAATTTATATGAGAAAGAACACTTTTTAACCGATTGCAAAATACAAAATTGGTTACATGCATTGCAAAGACTTAGGTAATGAAATATTTCTATCATATACTATTAATCGAAGTATATATATATAAATATTTCTCTACTCTAACCGAGGTTTGTCAGATTACTGGCAAACGGCTATTCATTATTTTGATAGACTTTGCAAGAAAGTTTTTTAGAAACATTTGGAGGGTGATTGTATAACTCTTCGTAAGGTTGCATATTTTTTCAATACATCAAATTTTTTTTTCAAGAGTTGAAGTTATATAATAGGGCTCTTTACTCGTTTTCTCAAGCAAAAGTTTGCCAATAAAAGAAGTGAATATAAATACAGGGTTCTATTGTGTAATCAAGTTATTCGGGTACGAGATGATTAAAATTATTATCATAGAAAGGGATCAGGAAAAGGAGCGATTCATTTATTTATCTCATAAAAGAGTGTGCTTGAGCGAATCTATTAATTAGTCTGATCAACTGTTACAATAATGATTCGGTTATAAATTCGAAGCGAGTAGAAAAACGTCAATTTTTTGTGAAACACAAGACTAATGCATGTATGTTAGGACGGAGATAATTGAAGACTGAGGTAAAAGAACTACACTGGTACCGAGGAGCAGATGTTTCTGAGCTTACTTCCATGAGCCACATGCTTCGATAATGACCCCAAAAGGGAGAATGAATGAATACATTGACCATTCCATTTCTTTTCAGTACCAAAAAGATGCTGTGATGTCCGATGTCTATAATTAGTGGTTTCTACATCTCATACATGTGAAGTGGGGGTATATTTCTAGTTCAATAAAACAATTCAAATAATAACAATTTAACTCATCAAAGCATACTATTCAATTTACATAGCTATTATCGTTATTGTAGCCTTATTATATACCATATTCATTGTAAGAGTATGTCATCTGTCTGATGGAGTATTTTTCGCTTCATTTTGCAATCTTACTATTGCTACAATGTGGCGATAACATTCATTTGGTATACATGAAGTAATCAAAACTTAGCCATTACACTATTTTCTCCCTATATTTCAACATTATTTTTTACCTGAGCGAGAGCGAGAAAAGCAGAAGCGTCAAAACACATACTGAGAGAATAAAATCGATGATTTCAATGCATATCGGAAAATTCAATGTATATCGGAATGCAGCAATAGATGATTGTTTACTATTCTAAACTATCTTTTCAAATGCTCTGATTTCTACAGAGAAGACCGGTTATTATTATGCTTTTCAAAATTGATAAAAAACACTTTCATTTCACCAAATTTTACAACTTTATTAGACGTGAAAGATTTGAAAACCGAATTAAGAAATGTTGGCTTCATCTGAAATATTACTATTATTTCAGATTATTCAGATTTTAGCTTTCACGTCTTTCAACCACTCATCTATATGTGGTCCGCAGTTTTACGAATTATTCATCTGAATTCGTGACACTTTCTAACCTTTAAGGAATTGGCAATTCTTTATATACAAAAATAAAAATATACACAACTTACTTGTCTTTAAGTACTTCAACCATTTGCTTAAGTTTTGTCTTTAATATTGTCGCAGATCAAAAGCCATTGTTTGATTATTTTTCTTTAACAATTTTGAGTGGGCTCCTTTGGATTTTTCTTTCAATACTCCTAAAAGATGTGGGAATTTTTGAATGAAAAGAAATGGGAATTTATAACAGTGCATGTGGACTTTAAAGCAACTCATTGAAAGATTACCGCAATTTTTCTATGAATCCCAAAAGACTAAACATCAACGATCTATTTCCTATAATGGCTAAGAATAGCTCCTACATTCTTAAAAATGCTTTATATAAAATCGAGAAGTAGCAAAAAAATATCGTTCTAACAGCTCCCAATAATGCCAGCCGCTCGAAGAGTAAATGAATTTGATCGAAAGAAATTTGTTCAGATTCAGAGGAAAATAAAAGTAGTTGTATTTCGAATTGCTAACATTATGATATTTCGCATATATTCTTCTCACTAATTAGTAGAAATTACAAATTTGAAGAATTTTCTTGTCAAATTAATTCACCAAATTAGCAGAGAATAGGTGAGGTGAGCTGGAAGGCTTCATCAAAGCTATATATAGCAGATTTAAAAGCTCTTACGGACTGTTAGAGGATCTAGCTAACGCATCATCGCCTATGTATTAACACATTTCTCACCATCAAAACCTTACACACAGATGATGGTTGTATCAGTCAGTAGTCGTAGTGGGCTCATGGCCACAGATAGACAGACATACATACATGGCCATATTGGCCATGAACACATGCCTTGTATATCATGATATCCAGTTAGAGTAATTCTGGCTGGAACAGTTAATTTTGATTCAATACCTTAATGTGATATCATAAGTGTAGTGTAATTTCCAGTTTTTGATCTTTAATTTCTGCGACGAACTTTCTAAATTTTTCAGTGAGCAAAGACAATTCGAAAACTAAAAAACAAGCAGTCAAATGAAGTGACGGCTGAGCAATTAATAGATTTGATATACAGCGAACAATTGCTTGGTTCAATAGAACAGACCGTTTGAAAAGGGTATACTACTAAGGATGGAGAAAATTCTTAAAGTATATTTTTGTTTCGAAGACAACATTTGATAGTTAAAAAATTGCAGCCACTGTTATTGGAGGAATTTTCAAAATTAATGGGAGTGTCTAAAAAAAACCAGAATGGAGGCTATAACTGTTACTGAAGGAATGGAAAATAAATTTCTTAGTATATAAGCAAAACCCGTGATATATATTTAACTTCAAAGAGTTAATAGGTTCAATGACTGGCTGAAATGATTGATGAATGAGAGAGAGCTTGAATTGAACATGAAGCTAGAATAAATTTTTTGTATGCAAAATGGATCAATTTTACTTCATTATTTGACTTTCGCTTTCTCATTTCATGCTGCACCCACAACGATATTCGAACACTTCTAAAAATTAATCCATTTCTAAAAATCATTTTAACGTCATTGAAGTATAAGATAAATAGGAGTAAAAAATAAAACTGAAACGATTCGACGTGAAATAAATCGACTGAAAATGTAATGGGAACAAAAATGCAATTAGTCATTTCAAATCGCCAAATTCAAAACATATTAAATATAAATGAAATGATTTTAATTGAGCTAAAGAGGATAGGCTTGTTTAAGTAACACAATAGATGAGCTACATTGATCGGCTGTCAAAACAACATATCATACACTTCTACGAATCATTAACAATTCAATCATTATTTATTCAGCGTAATAAACAATGGAGGAAATGGATGTAAGAGGAAGTGTATGAGCTTGAAAGATAAAAGTGTGATAAATGTCACTGAAATGTTTTAATTCAATTGATTATTGATTAGTTTAATTATTGAGAACTACAATAATTCTGTCGATATTTTTACAGCTCGACATATATTTCCTATTTCTGTTGTACAGTAAACTTTCAATTTTCTCAGCACAGTGGAAATATCAGCAGAATTGTGTTAGGTTTGAAATTAATAAATGAATTGAAAGCAAAACAAAGTTTAAATAAGCGACGATAAGTATTGCATTGTTTCGATGCTTATGAAAGCGGAAGGTTAACAGAACCGATAAGCATGTAAACATATATATATGTATATATGGATTGGAAATGAGTGTTGCTTAGCAGAAAGTGGTATACGTGTAAACACTGTGTTGGAGCGGAAAAATTACTTTGTTATATTTGAAACTTTAGATGAAATAGGGGAAATTACATCTTTCGTAGTTTTCATCTTTTGAGAATGAAAAATTAACAAACACACAGTGGAAGTATTGATATGTTATGCAATAAGAACTGAGAACCATAAAAATTTGAACTGAAATAAAAAGTGAGCCATGAAGTTGGCATATATAAGAATATTTGGAACTGAAAATCTTCAGTTTCCAAAATTGTCAATTTTAATATCACATCACTTCTAGTAAAAATAAAGCTACGTCACAACTGGAGAGATAAAGATATGAATTGATAGAAGTAACAAGGAGTCAGAGTCCAAAATAAACCTCGAAATGGTATAGAATTATTTTGAAGAGTTCAAATAAATATTGAGTTGCTCAAAGTGTAAAGTCAAGAGAAGAAAAAATGATTGTTTTGAATCTCAAAATTACTGAAAATTTTCTGTTTCAGCGCAGGTTCAACTATGCATGAAATTTCGTATTGCATTTTTTTCTAAATTGATTTTGTGTAAATAATATTTAGGATTTTAATAAAAATTATATTTTCCTGAATATTCCAAAAGTCTTTAAATTTTCTAGCTAATTTTTCTCAAATCGTAGAATAATGAAGATCTTCCCATCACCTGAATCAGACTCCTTACAAGTTTGCACAGTGACCAATCATCGTAACTTAACTTTGCATGTTATGATGGAAAGGAGTGAGATGAAGGATTTGGGTGTGAGGGCAGTAGATTTGCAGGATTTCTGGTAATTCCATCTTTTAATTTTGTTTCAGGATGGTGCGGTGTTGGCGTGGAACATTAAAACAACCTTTTGGTATAAAACTGTTCTGGAATATTCATCATGCACATCCGCGATTTCTCAACAAAACAGTTCTCGTTGTCAACAATGATGTCACAGCAGCTTTTCATTTGCTTAACAGGTTTTTTTGCCCTCCTCTGCAAATATGATACTATTTCCGGATCGGTAAATTAAAGTCGGCATCCCGAATTGTATGTTGTGCAGGAAACTTTTGTTTTGGATTTATAAGATTAATGAATTCCAAGAAAAACTGCACTGTACATAGAGAGACTATGTATATAGAGAGTGACCTGAACTTCTAAATATTATAACTTTTTTGCTTTTCTAATGCTTTCACAGATAATTGCATGTAACAGTTTTATTGCTAATCCAGACATTACGAATATCTCTTTACTAACTCTGTGCTGTTGTTTGCATGGTGTGAATTATAATTATATTCCAAGAAAATCATATTTTTTTATTCCAAAAAATTCCAAAAAAGTAATTATATTTCTGTAATTATATTCAGATTAATGAACAATGAAGGTCTATTGGATATTTTACGAAAAACACGATATTATCGAAAACCGTATATGCAACGGAATGAATTGTCGAGAGAAATCTCAAAAGCAATCATCAATGAAGACATCCGGAGGAAAATACAATTTTTGATGCGGAAAAATCGACCCGATCCATATCCAGGCCAAATGACTACATGACTCTGTCGTTGCTAGTGCATGTATATATTTCACTCTGTTCTTTCGTTCCATTACAAACTCTTCCTTCAGTATCATTTCTATGAAACACACTGATTACAGACGGAATTCACCGAGATTTTTGTCATCGTTAAACTGAGACGTGATATCGGTATGGTGATTAAGAAACGGTTTCGGTGGTTTTGCTGAAGATTGTCCAGTAAGGAGCTAGCTTGCTTTTTATCATGCTAAACCATCCTATTTTCCGGTTCTCTAGAAAATTTCGTTGAACTATTTCATAAAACTTTTTCTTTCTAGATGATGTATTCGGTGCTGTTGAAATCAATAGATCTTTACTGATGTATAAAAATAAAATACAAATCTTACTGATGCATAGAAATAAATAAAAAAGAGGAGAAAACCAAACAAGTGTCAAAAATTTCTTTTCCCAAAATTATCATTGAACAAGTTTCACCCTGATTTTGGCTATTATCATGAGTTACTTTCAGAAAGTCCAAGAATGCGTTTGAAATATGACTTTAGTCATTAATATCAAAGACAATAAACCTCGTAAGTTCTCCAGATTTTAAAGCAAATTAGGGAGAATTGGACAATATATAGCTTTAATCCATTCTAGCTTTGATGGTTTTTACATTAACTTTATCTTTAGTTATTGTATAAACGATCACACCCCAACCGGAAGCGGCATCACGTTCCATTGCAGATAACATTGATTGTGCTGTTGCTTCGAATAACTCATCAGAACTCATACCTTCTTTCCAGAATCCTGAAATTCCGGTAAAGTTGAAAAATCATAAGATAATGAATGTTTCCAAACAAATATCCTGCAATTCCTAGCTAAGCAAAAGTGGAAGCATTCAAAGCTTTTGCAGAAGAAAGCATGGATTTTACATGCTCACTACAATATGATGTATATGTCAAGAATCGGATGTGAGTCCGCACAATGTTGAAAATAACCTTCGCAGACGCCTAACAAATATTCAGTTCCCGTTCCTACGGCGACAAAGTCATTAGGGGCAGAGATGCAACCTATAGTATCCATGGCACAAATGTACGGTTTATTAGTCGTCGGGTCCAGGCCTGCAATCAATGGTTCCGTGAAATAACCACCAAATCGATACTGATACAGCAGATTCGATACCATTACAGCTGCCACCTAAAAAAAGTAGGATTTGATTTAATGAATTTAATGAGCACACACTTCTTGAAAACCGAAATTCCCTCCTCTAAATTAATGATCACCACCTCTCCTCCCTATTTGGTACCTGTAATATTTGCAAAGACCGCGTTATGATTAAATGTCACTCTTTTTAAGATCCATGGTTACCTCAGGTTTTATTTTCCGGTTCTCCCTTAATTCGTATAGATTTTTCCGGAAAGTTATTTTGTCAAGAACTGTTTTAGCATCCGAATGAAATCCACCCAAACCGATATAAACTTTCTCGCCCAATTTATGCACCTGCAATGTGAAGGAATTAAATTTTGGCAGAAGAAATGAAGACAACTTAGATAGGTAATTTTATTCATTTTAATTGATCAACTCAAAATCCAACAAATCTCTCGCTCCCCTCGATCTTCCCTATACTCCAAAAGAAATATGTAATTCTGAAAACAATAATACTTTATTCTGCAAACATTGAAAAAATAACTTTTTTCATATTCGTTGCAATTGTGGTCATCTGTTCACCAAGTCGTAAATCAGAAGCAATACAAACACAGTCGTTCCCGGCCATTGCCAGAATAGTGCCGCCAGTATAGCTCATAATAGACATGATGAATAACTGAATAAGCAAACCTGACGAAAACAATAAACCTGAAAAGATGACACTGCCAGGACTCACCGGAAAACATCAATTTGGAACTAATAGCACTTTCCAGATACTATTTACTTTCAGTTACAAGCTAGACAAGCTTCTCGCAAGACATAAAAAGAAATTCAATAGCTCCCCGTCTCAATCCTAAAATCGTTTGATATGCTTAACACCACTTTGCAAAATTCTGGTAAACAAATCACTTTTCAATGAAAATATAACAATGTCGACTACCATCATATGACGTCTTAATATAGAATCAACGAGAAACGTCGTAGAAATCAAACATTAAATAACACAATTAACAACAGCAATTTAATGAATCCGATAAAACTATTATCGCATTGATTGTTAACAATACACAAATTGAGAATTTCTTAAAATATTGAATACAGGAAACTTCGGATGAATTAAAAAGCAAGTTGCACACTCTTTACAATAATTCATCTTGTCCCTTTTATTTCTTCTCCAAACACTTTTTCCTACGTGCTTTTCGGCATTCGTAGTTTATTTAAATAGAATAATTGAAGCAGAATATACAATTTCCTTGCAGAAAATTTTGATCAGTATTCATTGCCTAAGCTAACATTCGCGTCCATAGTAATTAGAGAGGAAACTCTAGTAATGAGACTAAAATTCTTAAGGAAATCTCCCACTATTTCAATAATTTTGAAGTGCTCTATTCCCATTTTTAAAAATTCATGACTTATTCAGATACAGTGATCAATTGTAATTTAAATTTATCGCTTCTATTAATGAACTGTTGTGTGTTTTACATTCAACTTTTTTATCCTCACAATTTTAGGATTTCTAACTTAATAAACTTAGTTGTAATTATTTTACGAGTTTTTTTAATGCATTACCATTTGCTATTTAAAATGTGAATTATTGAGGAACAAATTCGAATAACACAATAAACAGTAAATAATCATTAGCTGACACACCGAAAACTTGTAGACAAGTAGCATCACTGGTTTTCCGCACTGATGCCTCATATTTAAATAAATCAAAACTTGGAAAGGAAAGGCGGATAAGATCAATAAGAAAGACGAGCAGGAAGTGATCGTCTGCGACCAAAATGTCCATTGCAATCTACATCACAATCTCCAGTGCTTAGTGTTCGCCGACGCGACATCGGCGATGCTGCAATTGCAATAAGTATTGAAACGATGAAAAATAAAGATGAACAAGAATTGTTTTAATATAAAAAATTCCGGCAATAATTTCCGCTTTTGTGGATGAAACTCTGAAGTTTTACATAGCAGAAAGAACAAAAGATAAAAATCATGAACAAATGTATATTAATTTGCTTTATATTCAATAACTGACATGAACGACTATGGGCTGATTGCTTGGGGAGGATATCTTCAACCGATTTTTTGTTTACATCGCGATTTCTAGAATATTCTTCATATGTTTGCCATGCTTCTTTATCACATGCTGATTTTAACTTCATAAGAATAGCCCTCCTCATGCCTCTGATTGTAAAATTTGGATACCATCGTCGAAATGAGTCATTTCGAGTTATAAACTGGAAAAAAATTCTTGTAAAATACTCTTGTCAGACTGATTTTCTTTTGAAAAGATTGTTTAATATTCAAAACAATTTCCATTGAAAATGTCATGAATGCTAGGAGAATTCGAAACTGACATAATCAAATTTCTAAATTATCATTAAAAATATGTAATATTACTGGAGCATGAAGCCGATAAAATAAACTACCATTTAATAGATAACGTTTTCTAAAATAGTAATACCAAATCCTTTGTGAGATATTCCCAGCTCAGTCTGCATTCATGAGAAGAAATGCTTTTATAATATTATGTACATATCGTTTACACTTTATACTGCTTAAATTCAAAAGATACTTACTGACGGTGGTTTCAACAAGAAACATTCGGCAAATTTCAAAAGAAATAGTCCACAATCTGTATAATTCCTTTGCTGAGGAATAGGAAACGGCACAATCTAAAATATCAGGGCTAATCATTTAAAATAAAACTGAAATTTAAAACTATGCACTACAAAAATCTAACAACTAATGCTACAAAATAAAACTGTGCATAGAAGACCTCACCTTTTCAATTAATTCTTTTGCAAAGTACTTTGTATCTCCGTCCTTCAATTTCCTTTTATCTTCATATTCACAAACAAGATATTCCCTTAGAACAGGAACCGTTAATTTCCTGTAAAATATTCTCAACAACATTAAACAGCAGTGATATCTTACATAAGTGATCTTGCCCACTGTCATCAAATTAACTAAATTTTGAATGCTGCTGGATTTGGCTTTTTTATAGATTTTTATTATTAGTAATGAAAATTCACATTTATACCTCTTCATATCCGTAGCATCGGCCAATGAATCCAGTAAAATAATACACGTTTTCCTTAATCTTTTTGGTAAGGCATCATTCTTGCAATTCGTCGTTTCTGGTACACGATTTACAATAGAGTACCGAGGGAAAGTGATTATAGCTAAGTACCTGCAAGTAGAAATAATTTGAACATCAATATTTGAAATTTGCCGCATTAACAAAGTTTAAGTAACAAAGCTCAACCTGATTATTTTCTCAAGAATAATCACTTTAATATTATCTTTAACTTTGTATCCATTAATTGGCAAAGTTCTGCCAAAAATTAAAATTATGAATTTACTTTCGAAGTAGATGAGAACAATAAAAGATTACATTTAGTTCAGATGAATTCTAAAAAAAAAGACTAACCAATGAATATCTTCAACAATGGGAACAACAATATAATCAGCACTAAAGATGTCCACATTTTTAGTCCATGTTCGCACTCCTTTATAATTTTCGGCAATCTGGAAACAATGATAAAGAAAATGAAGTAAAAATAATGAATACAATAATGAATACTGTTGAAATAGTGATATGTTAAAAAACACAAAAATATAATTATTGCTCTCAAAATAGCAACAGTATTTCAATGTCAAAAAAAACTTGTTCCACTTCTCTATCTGTACACATATTATGTGTCTAAGATTTTCTTTGATTTTTCCTTTTTGAAAGTGAAAATTCTCTGTATCAGATGCTCTAATTCTGCTATTTCTTTTTAGTGAGAGACAAACAAAAATATGTTATATAATCATAATAATATAAGAGTACACTTTTTCACAAATAGACTGACCCATTTTGCGCGGGAAGAAATGGTGCGAATTACACTAGAACCAGCAGGCGGCATTTGTGTTAACCGAGAATAGAAAAAAGAGTTGAATATAAAAATGGATGGACGCCTGGAAAAAATTACGAGTTTATAAGTCTGAATTGTTTTAAAACAAATTTACTAGTTTTACTGATCATTATAGTCATAGGAATGAAATGAATTATTAAAAAACGAAGTGAAAAAAATACTATTCGTTTACCTCTCCGATGGTACTAATTCCATCTGTATATATTTCAAGTAAAATTCTATGATTGTATCGTTTAACATTTCGTTCGGCCTCAAATACTCTACATCAGCGTAGTGAATTGATATGGTTGGCTGATCACGAGGATAATTTAATAACAAATCCAATTTTGGTCCCTTTGCAAGTTTCAACTGGAAAAAATATGAGTAATTTTTCATACAAAAAAGTTGAAATTCACTAATTCGATATGAAGATTCACCTGAAAGTATGACATTTATTTCTTTTAAATCAAATTTACTGTTTCTTTAAATTCCAGACTTATGATACACAGTTTTAGATTCATCACAGGAAACTCTGCCGTTTAAAATTTACAAATTTTGGTAATAAAGGATGGATCATGTTTAATCAGATTACATGCTTTTATGTTAGCATGCTTTCAAATGATATTAAGCAATTAACAAGTGAAACTCAATTGAACGAGTCATCGTGACCACAAATAGTTATAGTTGTTTCTCATCCAATGCAAAAAGATCATAATGAGTCACCGTTAGTTTGTTTAATTTATTGAATTGATTCACCGCTTGAAGAGAAAATTAATACTGACTAACTACATAATTAATGCGGGTCTCAAGACTCCCATATGGAACATCTGGTAATTGTATCTGGTATAAACAGAAATAAAAATAACTGAAAAAACTGAAAATCCTTATTATAAAAAAATGTAATCTAATAATTAAACATGCGTTTAACATAATCTAACAGATGCAACGATGAAAGAATTGTGCAACTGTTTTTGCGTAAACAACAACTTTTTGTTCAGGTTTTGCCAATTTATTCTCAAGATGATACTTATTGCAATAAAATGACATTGTTTTTTTAAAAATAGTATAGAGACATACGGGACCACCTTCATCGTCGTCATCATCAATAACATGTACTACTCGTTTAGATCCTTGATTCAACATTTTCGCTTCCGATGGCACCCGATAACGTGAGGTTGACGGTTCGTTTGATGCACTACTTAATGACAGTTCAGAAACATTCAACTCCTGCTTGATCATTTGTGACTCTATACTCGTATGTGTCAAAACTGAGACCTTTTTGGTTGGGGATCGGCCGACAATGCGTGCACTTTTTGGCATCGTTACCGGCTGAGCTATGACAGAATTACGACTGTGAGACACCTTAACAAGTTTGACTGATTAAAATTTATATTTCTAATTTCTAGGAATTATTCAATGGCAGAGGCAAATGTTCTTACAACTTTAGGAAAGATCGCGACTGAGGATTATTAGAAGTATAAATTATGAAAAAAGAGATAGTTACTCACTCAAGTCAGTTATAAAATAGTAACTTATTAATTTCTCACAATTATTAACTATAGTAGCTCAAGAGAGTTTAGTTATCAAGAAACTTCGGAAATATTTCTTTTTATGAAAACCAACAAAAACTGTAACAAATCCTTTCACTCAAAAAAGGAAAAAAAAGAGACGAAAACTTACGGGCATATCAGGAGAGGAACCTAATGATGATGAACTGCACCGAGGTGGTACTACACGCACAATGTTAACAGTGATTGGACGATTCTGCACAACACATGTTGGATTGGACTGATGGTATGTGATGTCTCTGAGCTGAACATCTGGTGATTTGATAATTTCCTGTGAGCGAACCTGAAAGAATTTCATTGCTGAAGCTGTTTGGTTACTGTTAGAACTGTACAAACCATGTAGTTAACTCCAAACGAAGTATGGAATGCCACTATTAATTTGAAATGCCACTGTCAAACACTGATATAGTCTTATGATTTGGATTGGTCAGTTTTTGTCAAACGATTACATTCTTCTCAACTCACTCAAAACATAGATTTTGTTGTATTCTAATATATTTCACCGTTGAAGACTATTACCGCAAAACAAATTAAAAAACACTGACTGCAACTGCCATAATTACTATTTTTCCAAAGGACTGAACAGTGTTTCTTGGATTATAATTACTGCAAATACGCACAAAATTTTCATACTATCCTAATTTGACTCGCCTAAGTTTTTTCATAACAAAGCAATTTACAGTTGATAGCGGCCATCGATTATTGACATATGCATGGGGTTGTTTGTGAAGGAACACTTGTGATGGTTGTGAAGGGGTATCTCTAGAGGCTGCATTAGATGTATTATTATCAATCAGGCGTGATGCCAGATTCGGTATAGTTCCCGACATCTGTCTCACATTCAATCCAATATCTCGCATCAGAGTAACGAAATCATTTTCATCCATGTCTCCTGTGTAAAAATATATTTACATTATTAACTAAATATTTCTATTTCGCCATACTCAAGAGAGCTCGACCAACAGCTGCAAATATAAAAATTTAAGCCAATATCGGCAATAAAAAATTACTCATTTTGGAAATGTTTTAAAATTATTCCCAATATAAAACAGTAAAGAAGACTTCAGCATAATGCAAAGACTTTCTCGAAAAAATATAAAACATAGATAAATGTCAACTCTGTAATGAACTTTTTATCTAGAGTTCAAATTAGAGCACAAATTCAAACTAGAGCTCAAATTATCTAAATCTGTCAAAAACCGATTTTTTGAAATTAGATAACAAAGGCAAACAAAAATTACCAAAAAAGTTTCCTGTTGATGTATTTATAACTACTCCCTGTGCAATGCTTTGAGCTTTGAAAAGCAATCTGGTTTCTTCTACTAAACGCAAAACCCGCTTTAATAAATCCATGTCGTCCTTAGTGCATCTTGTTATATCAACCAATATATATCTTAAAAAATTTCCAAGTTAATACAGTTTTTTGTTTTCTTAATAACTTGATGTTAGAATTATAAAATACCTCGAATCTTGATGATCTAACTTGAATTGTATTTTAAATAATGAAAAGGAAACCGTAGGAAGGTTCCATTTCTTCCCTTTTTAAATTAAAGTTCACTACTTCCTTTCATCATTTAACATAAAGAATTTCGAAACAGAACGAAAGTACGGCAACATCATGTATCGCAAAAAACTACTCGCGATAAAAAAAGATAAAGAAAAAACAGCAAAATAGAGATAAAATCTTCAAACTTCGTTAAACCAATCACTTGAGTTTTTCTTTTAGGATATTTTACACTCAAAAATCCAGCAAACTACATAAAAGCATACCTCTGGCAAACGCGTGCACTTTCTGAATCAAAGTAAGGAGCACTCTTTCCGATCGTTGCTTCTGGCATTGCTGAGATATGCAGGGTTTCTCGAATTTTGCTAGCACAGAATCGGTTTACCAAAAAAGCTACTGCTTTGTGTTGGCCACTTTGACAAAGCTGTAAGCAACAGAAAAACGTAAGTAAAGGCAGAGATGATCTAAAAATGACTTTAATTACTCCAGCTTTCCGCTTAATGCCTTTTAATAGTTGCGGTTTTCTACAAGTTATCACTACTTTCTTTATCACGAACTTCGATAAGAACGTTAAAAGATGGATACAATAATTATATAGAAGTGACTTACCAATGCTTTACAGATATGTTTGGAGGCTATCTGTATGGAAAGTCTCTGCGCATTATTTACATCGTACACATTAATAATGATATGATTTATATGCACAACAGTAGGTTTTACTACTCGAAGTTTCAATGTCCCGAAATATACGTAAGTCGATTCGATCTAAATACTAATAAGCTGAATGATTATCTGGATTAATAATTCCACATTATGTATGCCGGTATATGTTCGAATCTCCAGTTTTACACCGATCCTCTTATACCTCTAAGAATTGAAATCTGTATTAAGTACGATGGAATGATTAATTGAAATTAACCATTCCTTATTCTCAGTCACCTATTAATCTATACCTTGCAAAGTGTTAATCTTAAAGGGAAGTGATTTCAGGTTGAAAATAATTGAAGGAACTTACGGAAACACATTCGGATGCAGTAGCTGCCATTCATTCAATGAATGTCGGTCGACTTCACTCTACACATCCACTAAACTATCCCTGTTTTAAGCAAATTACTGAAATGAAAAATGTAAACGATTAATATGTCAAAAGATCAAACGTATCTTAATTTTTAGTATATTCCCATAGAAGTGACACAAAAATTAAAGCATAGAATGTGGGCAGAAATGACATGAAAATGAAGAATACATCGAAGAATCGGCAAAAGTCAACGTGTCATGGAAGATTCAGGAGAAACCTTACACACATATCCAGCAGGCTAAAGTAACGTATCACACACACGCTTTTCATTTCCATTATCTTCAAATGTGAGAAACCCTTTCTGACGCGACACCGTTACGACCGGAATCGTTTCATCATGGTGCGAGTTACGTGGAGCGAAGCAGGGATTATTTTCGGGTTTTCGTTCAGTGTTTCGTTCATTGCTGCAGGATTGATTTTATTGAGTTCAATAGAATTTCATAACTTTTATTTGTTTGATACACTTTGACACATCGATTCACATTAAACTCTGTGTCATTCATCGTTTGTCAAGTTTTCATTTTATTACTTAATAATAGGAATAGGGAATACATAGTGATGTAGTGTGTAGCACCCGATAGGTTTTCTATATCCGGGATCACCAAGGTCAAGTCTATGCTGTGCAACTGTGATCGGACAAGGTTGCATCGGAGTGTGAGTGGTTATGTGTTGAGCAAAATGTTTTTGCAGTGGTGAACAACGATGTCGTCGGGAGAGTTGCCGTGCTATACGTTGATTCATGTACCAAGCGATTTTGAAATACCAAGTGAAGTGCAGCTGAAAGAGAAATTTGAAAAAGGTTGATATTTCAATCTATTTAGTTAACCATATTCGCAGTGGTAATGATGATGATAGCAGTAATTGGTGGCGTAGAATTGATAGCTTATGTGATAATATATGAAAGTGCTTTCTCACAATAAAGTTATATAGTAGTAAATATTGATATCGACAGTATCAATAAGGATGATCACGTGAAAATCGGCATAAATATTATTGATTTTAATGGTTACCTAGATTTTCATTTACTTTATCGATTTATCATAAAGAACTTTTTTTTGACTGTAGGTGACGTGAAAGCAAAAACAGATGCATTGAAGAAACTGATTATGATGATAATGAACGGAGAAAAGATAGGACAAGGCATGATGATGCAGGTGATTCGATTTTGTTTGCCCACATCTGATCATACAATCAAAAAGCTGCTTCTTTTGTTTTTCGAGATCGTCCCCAAGGTAAACTGTGTCTTTTTACATTGCTTTCAACAAACGTTAATTTTCAATGAATTAAAATATTTAAAGATTAAGGACAGGATTTTGTGAAAGTAATTTATCACTGTTGATGAATTATTTGATTTGATTTAATAGCGAATCTCATGAGTTCCTTTTTGAGAGATAATAATCGATGCTCATTGTGTACCACTCCCGATGAGTTTTACTAGTAATCTTATAATACGATTGTGTGATTTATTCTTCAAGAGAATTGTTCAGACAGCATCAGATGGCAAATTGCTACATGAAATGATATTAGTGTGTGATGCGTACCGCAAAGATTTGCAGCATCCTAATGAATTCATTCGAGGATCCACACTAAGGTAAACTGTTCTGTTTCATTATTTTATTTAAAATGACTAAGAT